TAAACCTACGCAATAACGAACATCAATGAAAATTCAACGCGAAGTAGGTTAATAGCGATATACTAATATACTAATTACATGAGATATACTAATATACTATACTAATAATGTATTTTTTCATATTTTTCGGTTATCCGTTTTTTCAGTTGTCCAACCAACCCCAGTCCCCAATTCAGTTGGATAATCGATGCTGTAATGTAATATAAATTTAATATATCTTCACTATTGATTAACAACTTTTCATCAATTTACAAAAATAAATGTTTCATTATTTTCCATTTCAAGCTCTATTTATACGAAATTTCAGAAGCTATTTACTTAGAAAGGTTTTATGGATGTATTCAACTGTTTTAATCAATAATCAGTTTATACAACAACTAATTTCTGAAATCCAAGAAATATCTTTTTATTTATTAAGTTAATTTTAAAATTAACTTAATAAATAATAATTTTAAAATTAAATTATCAGTTTCATTTGAATTATTTTAAAATATTTGTTTCAGTCTGCAGGCAAATATAAATTGATATATAATCTTTTAATACAGTTAAGTTTCAAGATATAAATTGTAAGAAAGATTTAAATGTTTTTAATTACAATTCAGATTAATTGAAATAATGTTAAAAAGATAATTAATGAAATAAAATTGAAAGTTGATATAATCAAATAATGTAAGCATATAAATCACATCATTTATAAGTATCAATTATTATATCTATAATTTTAAATTTAATTAACATACTTGTTCAAACTTCCAACCATCTGACATGGTGGATACCATTTGAGTAAGTTCATTTTCACGGCATTGTAATACTCTGTATACATGTTTCTTAGAATCCTAAAACAAAATAAATATAAAACTTTGTTTATCAAATTTTCAACTAATATTTATTATAAATTATATTTCACAATTATCATAGTAAAGCTAAAATGCAATAATTAAAATAAAATCTAGTAACTAAGTATGAATTATCTTAAATATCAAAAGCTTATAATGATTATTATTACATATTTTTTAATATAACATTAAAAGGTATATGTTTATGCAAAACCTATAAGCTTTTGCACATTTAATTTGACTGCTAGTAAACTTTAAGCAGGTTTCATGTTCATAATTTTTGCAGTGTAAGTTTGAAATTTTTAGATATTTTTTCTTTCATAGATATATACACTCTTATAATAAAATTAAGTACATAGATTCAACATTAACACCAATAGGCCATTATTATTTAATTTTACCATTCTATTTTTCTGTAATTCTCAGTTGGGAACTATTTGTTACTGACATGCTGTAACATGTTTATTCATAGCAATAGTATGAGTATCTGTTATATTCAGTGCATCTCAGATGTTGAGCAGGAGTTGCAAACTGGCAGCTTATGGGCAGGTTACAGTCCGTTAAGGCTTCATAGTTGGTACACGACCTTAATGATTTATTTCCTAAAAATTAATGTTTTCTAACATCTTGTGGTGATTAAAACAGAAAAAAAATTCAAACGTCTGTTTACATAAGTTGTAAAGGCCTGGCAACAAAACGGTCTTTGTTACAGCCGTTTTCAAAATTATAGTATATTTTGGTTTACCAAATAATATTGAATACGACCCGCATCTGATATAATGTATTTGACTGGCTCTTTGCTGTGTTTGAGTTTGAAACTCCTGTGAGTTTGCACACATCTCCTATTGCCCAGTCTATAATAGCTTGCTATCCTATTCCCAAGCAATTATTTGAAAATATAGGGCAGAAAACTCTCACTGTATTGAAATAATAAAAAAACTTTGTTTTGAGAACTGCATCCAAACATTTAAATAAATGAAGATGACTAGAAACTGCCTAAAAACATATACTTCTATATACATATTCTGGAGCAGATTTTAGATTGTGAATAAATGCTCTGATCTGTCTCTCAAAGAAAGTCCACTTCTCATCTAAATTCAGTTTCTATGATCTATTTTATTGAGTTCAGTTTGATTGTTTTTATTTGTATCTTCCAAACAAAAATTAATTTTTGAAAGTATAATTGATTAAGATAATTTTTATCTTAATAAAGAAGGTTCAAATTCCAAAAAGGAGGCAAGAAAAAAAAAATATACAGAAATTAACTTCTTAGGTTAAAACTGTTTTTGAACAATATTCCTCACAACTTTCATTATCTTTTTGTTTGCAATAAATATGATAGAAACTTCTATAATACTATACATACATATACTGTTATATATAAAAGACAAAAAAAAAATAGTTAATTCTGGAAACCAAATTAAATTTTATTCAGAAACATTTTTGTTCTTTTATAAGAACATCATCAGCTGTGGAAATTATCAAGTACATTAGAATGAAAGAATGAATACAGTTAAAAGAGAGAACATTCCTATATTTGAACTTTTTCAAAATTAAAATTATGGGAAGTTATAATTATACAAAAAATTAATAAAATAAAGTAAAATCAGAATAAATTAAAACAAAAAAATAATCAAACTGATTGCAATGTTAAATGCAGACTGGTGGCCAACCACCCACACTATGTGACCTTCAACAAACACACCTCCACTTATTGATGCTGCTTCTAGATATAGTTGGAAAGTACTTTTTGAACAAAGAAATTTAATTTTGTTTCCAGAATTAAGCATTTTTCACCATCTTTGTGAATGGTGCCAAATTCAAATGTTATTTTTGTTGAGAAAAATATATAAAAATTCTATTTTTTTTTATATATTTTTAATTTTGCTATTGTTCCACAATTTCAATCAAGAGTACTATAAATGCTTGCTTTAATTAAGTGTTATAAGAAGAAATAACACAAAACAGTGTTCTGTTCTTAAAGTACGAACAAGCTTTTCAAGCAGAATTAGACTTTAAAATTATTCATGTAATGATTTTACCTTAGAGTAAACTTTATTTATCATTTATATTAAGAAATGAGTATCCAAATATTACTTTTGGAATTTTATATTTAACAATAAATCACCAACTTCCAATTATGTAGGATTCATCTGAATTTATAAATGTTAATTATTTTCACTTAGTTTGAATATACTGTATTCAAAAAATATGAAACTAAATTAAATTAAATTTAATAATACTAAATATAAGTTTTAGTTATTCTTTATTTTGATATATTGTTTGAAACTCTTTTACATATATCTTGTATGCTAATAAGTTCTGATGTAAAATTTACTTTAGTTTTTTGTGCCTTTGACACATGCATCATTTAAATTTTCATACACATTCCATTTGCTATTCAAATTTCTTTTGAATTCTATGTAAGGTAAGTTATAGTCTTTGTTCTGTTAGCTTTGAAGAAACCACAAAAAAATGTGAGACAATTTTGTAGCTTTTTCTTCAAAAGAATAAGGAAATCTGAAATTAATTAGAAATCTTTACCAATGCCAAAGAAAGTTGGCCTTATTAATGAACATCTTAAGACAAACTGTTCATCTAGCACTGAAAAAGAACCTCTTTTTACCAAATGTTGGTACAGCCTCAAAAGAAGAAAAGGCTTATTTGTTGTTGTTGTCTTTTGCACATTACAAGGATGTAAAAATGTTCTTTTCACATATAAAAAAAATTTTTTATTGTAAAGGAAAATTTAACAAGCAAAATGACTGTGTCCATGCCAAATCAGTGAAAGATATTCCCCAAATGTCAAGAAGTCTCAAACAGACTATCATCCTAGATATGTGATGGTCTGTCTGGACAGGGATTAGTTGACAAGGAAAAGCAAAACTTCATTTTTTTATCAGCAGAGGTTAAAATGAGTGCCAGGAACTACATAAGAGATTCTCTAAGCAGTGATAGAACTCTGTTCAAAAATCATACTTGGAATTTCAGCAAGACTCAGCTCCAGCTCCCAATGCCAAAACCAAACAGGATTGATTAAAAGAAAAAGTTCTAGATTTCATTTCAAAGGAAGAATGGCCTATCACAGGGGTGGCCAACCTTTTGCATACCATGCGCCAATTTTTTGATAGACGAGTTCAGATGCGCAGTGGCGTACCGTGGGTGTTAGCCGCCCGGGGCGGAGAAAAATTTCGGCCACCCTTTAATCAGGTATTTCAATTTAAAAGATCAAAATTCAGTTGTGTGAAAAAAAAATTAATAAAAAATGCGGTGGTGGTGTAGTTACCCGTACAAAATAGTCCCATTTGACATTAGTGGCATACACGATTGCGAATGTATCGTGAATCGTAGAAGCAAAAAAAAAAAAGAAAAAAAAAAAAGAAAAAAAAAAAAAAAAAAAGGTCAACAGGTGTAGCAGTCCAACCGACTCGTGGACTGTCCGGACGGTAGCACTGTCATTTAGACGCCTATGCACTGATCGAAAATAAACATACATGCATACACTGTAATTTACTATGTGGAGAACACTCATTTTATCTGTAAAGTTGATTGCAACGAATTGTGCAACAAATGAACTTGCCAAGACAGACTATAAAAAATTAATTTTCTATGTAATATTCTTAATTGCAAAGAAGCCAAATCTGGCAATGTTGCTCAGAACTGACTAAAGCGCCACTTGTAATCGTCCAATGCGCCAAGTTTGGCGCATGCGCCACGGTTTGGCCACCCCTGGCCTATCACATCATCTGATCTGAACCCATTAGATTCAGATAATCAAAGTTTGAGCTGAAAGTCTGTGCTAAATCCTGCACAACTGTTGAGGTTCTGAAAAAATCCTATCTGTAAGAATTAGCTACTTTTTCTTTGAAAAGCATCTATACTGCCATAGAAGAGTTGAAACCATGAATGAAAACCTGAATCAATGCTTGTGAGGAGACCTTGAACATTAGAAATGGAAGTTATCTATCTTAAGAACAAATAATAACAACTCAAAGCCCGAGAAATATACAATAAATCACCAAACGATCGCCTTAATATCGGGCTATAATATGACTAATTAAATGATTAGTATAAAGTAATTTGACATTAGAGGTAGACGTTAGGCACCATCTCTTAAGTAAATTAATAATTATAATTAAATAAATAAATTATTAAATAAATTTAGAACCTTCTGGAATAAAAGAACTGGCCCAGGACTAGGCTTGAACCCGCAACCTCTGCTTGCCATGCGGTGCACTTGCCAGTTACGCCACTCGGACCCGAGCGAGTCTTCGCTTCCAGAAGTATATTAGATTAGATATAACCTTACTTGGTTAAATACATCACAACTGGGGACGACTTCATCACCCACGACCCCAACGGCACTCAGCCAGTTAACGTAATACCCGGCAAGGTATATATATATATATAAATAATAACAACTCAAAGCCCAAGAAATATACAATAAATCACCAAACAATCGCCTTAATATTGGGCTATAATATGGCTAATTAAATGATTAGTATAAAGTAATTTGACATTAGAGGTAGATTTTATACTAATCGTTTAATTAGCCATATTAATTACTTTATACTAATCATTTAATTAGCCATATTATAGCCCAATATTAAGGCGATTGTTTGGTGATTTATTGTATATTTCTTGGGCTTTGAGTTGTTATTATTTATATATATATATATACCTTGCCGGGTATTACGTTAACTGGCTGAGTGCCGTTGGGGTCGTGGGTGATGAAGTCGTCCCCAGTCAGTGATGTATTTAACCAAGTAAAGTTATATTTAATCTAATATACTTCTGGAAGCGAAGACTCGCTCGGGGTCTTGGTGGCATAACTGGCAAGCGCACAGCACTGCAAGCGGAGGTTGCAGGTTCAAGCCCCGTCCCAGGCCAGTTCTTTTATTCCAGAAGGTTCTAAATTTATTTAATAATTTATTTATTTAATTTGTAATTATTAATTTACTTAAGAGATGGCACCTAACATCTACCTCTAATGTCAAATTACTTTATACTAATCATTTAATTAGCCATATTATAGCCCGATATTAAGGCGATCATTTGGTGATTTATCTTAAGAACTTTAACAATAGAAATCTGTAAAATTAAAAAAAAATTAGCTTTTTTGTTTATTATTTATATTTCTGTTTGTTGCCATAGCAACAATTTCAAATAATTATTAGAATAAGTTTTCCATTATCAATTTTATTAAAGTAACTGCTCTATTGCTTTAAACAATGAATGAAATAGACTGTCAAAAAGCAATTGTTGACAAAATGGCTGGAAAATCAAGACATTTCATAGCAAAACAGCTATAATTTTCCTGAAGTATGATAGATGGAGTGTTAAATAAACATTGTAAGACATTTTCTATTTCTCAAAAGCCAGGTTCCAGTGGAAATTATGGTGCTTGTAGCTACAATTCAACCAGAAGATCAATCATTTCCAAAAATTTCAATATGTCAGTGAGAGATGTTGCAAAAAAAAAAAAAAAAAAAAACCTGACACTAAATGAACAACAGTTCAAAGGGCTAAGCAGTGTGCAAGTATGAGATCATATAAAAAACAAAAAATACCTGAAGTGACTGAAAAACAAAAGATGGTAATTAAAACTAGAGTTCAAAAATTGTATCCTTTAATTGGCAAAAAGATTGCTTGTTTGATTTTAGATGATGAAACATACATGAAAGCTGACTTCTCAACACTTCCAGGCTCTTGCTATTATACAGTGTTAGAAGTTCTTCCAGAATCTCAAACATCAATTAGTGTCAAAAAGTTTGCCTCAAAATATCTGGCATGGCAAGCAATTTCCCTTCACGGATTGAAAAGTTTGTCATTTGTGACAAAAGGAAATATCAGGACTGAAATTTATATTAATAAATGTTTAAAATACTTTGTTTTTGACAGATTTGGCAACAATACACAATGCAAAATCCACAGTAAGTTGGCTGGAACAATGTGGAGTCAATTTTGCACTTAGAAACATGAATCCACCAAATGTACCACAATGCTGACCAACAGAAATATTTTGGTCTCTTGTAAAAAAGTAAACTAAAAACAAAAACAAAAAAAAATTAGAACAAACAGCAAAAAACATTAACTATTTTTCTCTGAAGTGGAAAGTTAATTTTTGATACACCCACATATTAGCCCAAACTTAGCTTGATAATTTCAGCAATTAGATATTTGGTTTAATATATATATTTCATACATTTTTATCAGAAAATTATTAATAAATAATTTTAAATTAGTGAGATATAAAAACTTTATATGAACTAATTTACTTTTGTCATTTTGGCATTTCTCTCTAGGATTCTTTCTTTAACTAGTTTAATCAGATCTGTTATATTGTAAAACTCAGCTTCTTCTAATACTCCTATATAAAAATAACTAAAATTTAATAACTAAAATAAAAAAGATAGGATTATAATAATGTTTTATGTAAAACCATTACTTACCTTCTTCTGCAAGATCTTTATTAATTATTAATTTACCATGGCGAAGATAATTTAGTATAGGACCAAAATAAGTTGGATCTCGATCTATTAAATAAGCACCAGTATCATCCTGTACAAAAATATTTAAATTTATAACATGCTATGTATGACACTTATAAAATTTTATTTATAAATAACTAAATTAATAATATAGTGATACCCCGAACTTACGCGATAGGTGGGACCGAGCGATAACCATGTAAGTCGAATTCGCGTAAGTCGGGGTATAATTTTCTCAATGTGTGTAAAACCCAAGTCGGATGTATGTAAGCTAATAAATGTTCTCGTTAATCTTATCTCGTCTTTCGATTCATTAGCAGTTAGAAGAAATCACCACATAGAGTCTCTCGAGTCTCCGTAGATATAACAAACACAGAAATGAACAACACAAAATAAATTGTGGCTATGTGTCGATTCCGCGTGACACGTCTGAACATGTAAGCCGAACAATAGTGTGGGGGGGATTGAGTAATCGAGAGCTGCTTGGCGCTCAAACAAAAGACAAATCGACTAGATTTGAAAATCGCGTAACTCCAGGTTCACGTAAGTCGAGGTATTACTGTATACAATTTAAAAAATTGATAATTATGATATTTGCATTTTTTTATTTGATAAAAAAAAGTAAATAAATTCAATGTTGAAATAGTTATTGATTTAGCACTAATAATTTTTTACTTAGTCAAATATACTAAAAAAATCAATGGTTTGATTCAAGTTCTGAGAATTACTATATCATTTAACAGCTGTAATCAATTTATTTGTTGTTCTTTTTTAATACTGAAAATTTCATTAGCAAAAAAATAAAATATGGGAGCTCCCATACTTATAAATGTTCAACTTACAAACAATTTGACAATGTCTAAAATTTTGTGTGAATTCTGAAGTTCTCTTGCTGGTTGTGGGATGGTATTGAAATCAATCTTCAGCCAGTAATAAATAAAAAATTTTTGATAAATAATTAATGTGGATTTATTTCTATTGTGTATAATCATGTTTTATTTTTGTGTGGATTCTGACATTCCATCACCACTGATGATGTGACATTGAAGTTGGTAATGCTGGAGTAACAGCATTTTTACTTTTGTTTGCAAATTTTTATAAACATGATTAGCACTTCAAAAATGTGTCCAAAACATAACAATAAATCTAAAATTGTAGATAAATGCAAGGAATGTGGCTCTATTACTATGAAAACTAAAGTAGACATTATAAAACTAAGTGTGTTAGGTGAAAAAAACTGCATTTGAAATAGTGATGAGACAATTAATTGAAATCAAGAAAGTCTTATCATAGTTTCAAATTCTTAAAACAATTCTTTCACATTTAGTAAGAAAATTAATTATTTGTTTTGATCAAAGATTAAAATTTTCTATAATTACATTATTAATAATTAATTACCAGTTTATTGGAAACTTTCATGTTGACAAAGCAGAGCAAATTAACGTCCCATAAATGAGATGATGTCTGTCATGGCAGATTTTTCTTACATGTAGTCAGAGTGACGAGAGAATGCACTTAGTCAGTGCTAACTGCCCCATTTTAAGGGATAAGGTGACATTAGAGTTTCCATCTGACCAGCATTGAGCTAACTTGACAGGCAATCTGTATTCAGTATATCTACATTTATATCTATAAAAATATCAAAAGCAAAATGTTCCTTTGCCTGAAACTGAAACTAACACTTCACAAAGTGCTATAAATACTCAACTCTGACTGCCTGGATGAAATATAACCAAATCAATCAAGACGGACAACAAATATTTTACCCACACTTTCCAAAATATTATGTTTATAATAAAAACAAAAACAATATGGATATCTGGAATATCTGGATATATATATGCTTGTAGCTACAATTCAACCAGAAGATCAATCATTTCCAAAAATTTCAATATGTCAGTGAGAGATGTTGCAAAAAAAAAAAAAAAAAAAAAAAAAAAAAAAAAAAAAAAAAAAAAAAAAAAAAAAAAAAAAAAAAAAAAAAAAAAAAAAAAAAAAAAAAAAAAAAAAAAAAAAAAAAAAAAAAAAAAAAAAAAAAAAAAAAAAAAAAAAAAAAAAAAAAAAAAAAAAAAAAAAAAAAAAAAAAAAAAAAAAAAAAAAAAAAAAAAAAAAAAAAAAAAAAAAAAAAAAAAAAAAAAAAAAAAAAAAAAAAAAAAAAAAAAAAAAAAAAAAAAAAAAAAAAAAAAAAAAAAAAAAAAAAAAAAAAAAAAAAAAAAAAAAAAAAAAAAAAAAAAAAAAAAAAAAAAAAAAAAAAAAAAAAAAAAAAAAAAAAAAAAAAAAAAAAAAAAAAAAAAAAAAAAAAAAAAAAAAAAAAAAAAAAAAAAAAAAAAAAAAAAAAAAAAAAAAAAAAAAAAAAAAAAAAAAAAAAAAAAAAAAAAAAAAAAAAAAAAAAAAAAAAAAAAAAAAAAAAAAAAAAAAAAAAAAAAAAAAAAAAAAAAAAAAAAAAAAAAAAAAAAAAAAAAAAAAAAAAAAAAAAAAAAAAAAAAAAAAAAAAAAAAAAAAAAAAAAAAAAAAAAAAAAAAAAAAAAAAAAAAAAAAAAAAAAAAAAAAAAAAAAAAAAAAAAAAAAAAAAAAAAAAAAAAAAAAAAAAAAAAAAAAAAAAAAAAAAAAAAAAAAAAAAAAAAAAAAAAAAAAAAAAAAAAAAAAAAAAAAAAAAAAAAAAAAAAAAAAAAAAAAAAAAAAAAAAAAAAAAAAAAAAAAAAAAAAAAAAAAAAAAAAAAAAAAAAAAAAAAAAAAAAAAAAAAAAAAAAAAAAAAAANGATAATTATTCTACGAGTCGATGCATATATATATATATTTTTTATTATTATTTATTTAATTTGCATTAATTTTCCCTGAATTTTTTGAACCCTTAAATACAATTTTTAAAAAATTAATTGCAACTCTTTACTTTCCTAGCTGTTATACATAACTATGGTGACTGGTCAACAAATGACCTCCCAGGATTTTTACATTTTTGATCTTGGCGAACCTTGAAACATCAAGAAATGAAAAAATAAAATTTGAGGGTTTTTTTATATATATGGATGTTTGTGTGTGTGGGGGGGCACAATTTTGTTCACCCTCTTTGAAGCTTAATAACTCCTGTACTTTATTTTGAAATTTTCTGAAATTTTGCACGGAGATTTGTGTATTAGGGAAATTCAAGCTATGAAAATTTGGAGGTTAAAGGTCAACAGAATGGGAAAATAAAGGGAGTCGTATCATATCTTTTTTGAGTAAGGTCTGACTTAACGACAATTTTACTCATTATCAAAATTTACAATTTTTATAAAACCAATCCCTAACCTCAAAATTATGTTTTTTGTCATTTTATAATAATTAAAAATATAAAAAGTTCTTTTTAATAAAATATCATAACAGATGATGCCACCAAATGTTGCTGGGAAAGTTAAACAACTTATTCCTAGATTTTTTCTTTTGTCATATAACTATAGAAGTTGCTTAAGTGTTATTTTGCACAAAAGATAATCAAATTTAAATTTATTTAATTTTTTTTAGTAATTTCATTAATTTTTGTTTTATAAATTTGCCTGCCTTTTAAAAATTTTAATTATAAGTGAGTTAACACTGAACTATTGAGAGCTACCTAGTTTCAAATCAAAGGTCAGCAGTTGGCAAAAATATTTAAGCGTCAACAAAATAGTTTGAAATATAAATGAATTGAAATTCAATCAAATGAGCAATTATTTATTGTGACATTGTCACAATGTCAGATTGCATTTTTTAATCGTATTTTTTAAATTTATTTAATTTAATTTAAAATACATGCTTTCCACCTCAAATTAGTAGTCTCTTGTCCCTGTACATCTTACTTTTCCTGTTAGCAACAGGGCTTTGCTGGTCATCTATCTAACTCCTTTCAGGAAAAATTTTTAAATTGAAATAGCATGACTTCCAGTTTGCATCAAAAGTTCGTATATATTTAATTGGGGCTTCCTGTTCATAGCTTTTCTATATCTGGTCTTGACTTTCATTTATCTAACTCTATTCTTGAGATTAAGGAGAGACAGATAGAAAGACAACAGCGGGAATTTATAGGTCTACAATTTTTTCAAATTGCAATCCAAAAAATATTATATAAAACTTGCTTGTGCTAAGTTTACTGCCATTTTGAGTTTAAAAAATAGATTTTTAAGATGAGTCAGTCTAGAAATTCAGGGTTAAAGTGAATGAATTCAAAAATTGGTTAACTCGTGCTGATGATGATATTTGTTCGACTCATTGCATCATTTGTTGAACCTCATTTAGTGTTAAATACAATAGAATTAAAGTATTTATGAACCATGCCAATTGCAAGAAGCATAAAAGAAGACGCGCATCTTCTCATTTACTTTCCCCATCTCCTCAGTCATTGCACCTGAGTCATCGCTTTGGCCAACGAAGCAATTCCCAAATATGGCAACCCTAGATGACATGAATTTATTTTGCAGTACACTATTTTTATTTTTTATTTTATTTTTCAAAAGACACTGTGGCCAGGTTGGCCTTTTACAAGCATCTTAACAGTTAATCAAAACAAACAAACAAACAAACAAAAATCAGGACGCGAGCTGAGAAAGAAAAATTAATTAACAACAAATAACGTTGAGTCTTAACCTTTTTTCCATTTTTTTACATTTTTTCTGAAGATTTCATAACTCGATATATTACGTAAATCGTCGC